GGGCGTCGGGAAAGGAGCAAGAAACCGCCAGGCGGAATCTGCTATTAAAATCTCCGAAGGTTTTTCCAGGGAGAAGGCATTGATCTCACGGACAAAGAGGCTCCGTAATTTCCTGCTTTGTGCCGGTGAAATATCCAACAAAAGCCCCGGGATTTAACAGCCGGACTCGGCGCTTGATGGCTTCAGATCTCTCCATGGGTTCGGCAGAGAAAGAGGGYTCATTGTGAAGGGCCTGAAACGGAAAGTTTTGCCACTTTAGGAAACTTTTAAAAATTCTTTGCACCTTCAAAGGGAACCTGGAAGTTCAATGGGAGGTTTGGAGGCGACGCATCAGGGATTGGCCTCAAAGTCTTGGATTCATGAGTGGTTTTGAAGATTAACACAAAAGCTGTGATCAATTAATCTGCATGAATTGGGGTTGGAGAGAATGAGGAAATTAATCCAGGAAYGGATGAAGAGCCCTGTGGATTTCTGGAAGGACAGGGATACAAAGGGATACAAAGGGTTTTGTCTCGCTCTCAGCAGTTTTTGGGTTTGATTYGCTCGAAGTCACCGAGCTGGCAGTGCCCCGAGCAGGAGGTGCCACCAGAGCAGACCTGGACTGAGCTGTCCTGGTGTGTCCCCGGCCACCCCTGGGTGTGACAGGARCCAGGAATGTCTGCCTCAGTGTGTTCTTTGGGAACAATTTCCTCCTGGAAAGGGTGGGCAGGATTGGCAGGGGCTGCCCTGGGAGGTTTGCAGTGCCCATCTTGGAGGTACCCAGGGAATTCCTGGAGGTGGCACTGAGTGCTCTGGTCTGGGGACAAGGTGGGGATGGGTTGGCTTTTCCACCCTCAGGGATCCCAGGATTCTGAGATTTTCATCAGTGAAGGCTCCCGGGGCAGGGAGCTCTGGCAAACACAGCTTCAGATCCCGTTCTTCCCATTTTGTGGTGGGAAGATGCCAAGCCTGGTCTGTAGGAGCATCTGTAAATCCAGAGAAGCATCCTGAGGGAGAACCATGCAGGGGACAGGGATGGCTCTGGGGGACAGGGATGGCTCCAGAGGACAGGAATGGCTCCAGAGATGGGGATGGCTCCAGAGGATGGGATAGCTCCAGGGGATGGGGACAGGAATGGCTCCAGGGGACAGGGATGGCTCCAGAGGACAGGAATGGCTCCAGAGATGGGGATGGCTCCAGAGGATGGGATGGTCCCACAGGATGGGATGGCCCAAGGGGACAGGGATGGCTCCAGAGGATGGGGATGGCCCAAGGGGACAGGGATGGGGATGGCTCCAGGGATGGGGATGGATCCAGAGGATGGGGATGGCTCCATGGGATGGCTCCAGGGGACAGGGATGGCCCCAAGGTATGGGGATGGCTCCAGAGGATGGCTTTAGGGGACAGGGGTGGCTCCAGGGGATGGCTCCAGAAGATGGGGATGGCTCCAGGGGACAGGGATGAATCCAGAGGATGGGATGGCTCCAGAGGGCAGAGATGGCTCCAGAGGATGGGATGGCCCCAGCGGATGGGGATGGCTCCAGAGGATGGGGATGGCTGAAGAGGATGGGAATGGCCCCAGGGGATGGGATGGCTCCTTCCCCAGGTGGGGTGTCCCCGAGAGCAGCCCATGATCCATGAGGAACCTGCCAGCCCACCAGGCAGAGGGACCAGGGCCCAGCTCCGCAGGGAAAAGGGGGTCCAGCCCTTCAGAATTCCAAAGCCTTCTCCAGGCTCAAAAACCAGGCGTGGAATTTTCTCAGGGAGCTTTGGGAAGCTCTCCAAGGACACCAGGCAGCAGCACTGACCCCAGAGCCACCATGGCCCCTCC